AGCTAGTGCTCGGGGGACGTTGCGATTCCCAGATGGCTAACACCACGATCACACCCCTCATTTCACCTCACTGTTCCAGACACTACCTTTCACAACCTCTTTTCAATTTTGCATGCATTTCTTAACTGTTGGTTTTCATTATTGAACACAATGAGAACAATCAAATAGCCCGGCCGGCGTGGCTCAGAGGTTGAACGTCGACCTCTGAACCAGGAGGTCACGGTTCCATTCCATGGATCTGCATGCAGGACGCAGCAGATACATGATTCTCTCTCATCATTGATGTTTTTATCTCTCTCTCCCTCTCCCTTCCTCTCTGAAATCAATAAAAAATGTATTTTTTTTAAAAAAGAAGAAATCTAATTGACAACCAATCATCATTATCTCTGCATTAGTAGAAGATGGGGTGCCTCCGAGCCCAGTGTCATCTGACATCTGCTGCCATGGGGGTAGATGAGTCTGATGCATCGGTACCCACCTATGGAAAGATCTAGATTGCGCCTTTAGCAGGTTGGGTGGGGAGAGAGCTGAGGGAGGGGCAGACACCATAATGGACGTCCCTGGCCATCACCTCAGCTGTGTCTGGCATTATTAAATCTTACTTTAGCCATTTCTTGTATTCGCTGCCTATCCGAGATCATAAACACGTGTTTTAGGTCAAAGGTGGTTCTGTCTTCCCTTGCCGCTGATGCTGCCCTCGTCACCTCTTCCCACCACTATCTCAGAACTCAGAGCTAACAAGCAAGAACTAATGAATCAAAAAGCCCACGCCACCTGATCCTGGGGTCTTCAGGGAGAATACAGGGCTTGAGCGGAATCTGTGGGAATTCCCTTTCCGATTAATTTCCCCAGCTCCTCTGTGGGTTGTGCTCCCTGCTCGCCTGGGATGGCACCGACATGACAGATGGCACTCGCCTGCCCAGAGAGTTTATGCTGCCACACAGGAAGGGCTATATTCTTTTGCTAGAAAACGTTTATAAATCACTGTTATGCATTGTTAGGCAGGAACATTGTGAAACAAGAGAGATGCATGCTATGTCATACATGGAAACACTAGGCATTTGCGGATGGTAAGATGATAGATTCCTATGTATGCGTGGATCATGGAAACATCATTTGGAGATGTTGATGTACATGCTGTAGGCAGCCGGAACCGCACCCGGTGTCGGACCCTCGGGGCCAGACCAAACCTGGGTTCAGCAACCTCGGCCCTTGGGTTCCGGCTAGGAAAGAATTCACAGCCCAGACCCGAACTGTAAGAGACATTTACTGGGTAACTCACAGAGGGAGAAAGAGTAATTCCTAGAAGAAAGGGGCTGAGGAAACGAGTCATGCAGGTACAGGAAGGGCCCTGGGAGCTTGGGAGTGAGGAAGCTGATGGCAACGTGCCTGGGGCTGAGAGGGGGAAGGGAAGGCAAGAACTTGCTCCCCGGAGGGAGAGGCACTGGGTCCTCCCTCATAAGGGTTCTAAGGGCGGAGACTTTCGGGGAGGCCCCAGGGGAAGATCTCAATAGATTCTATTGAATAGAACAGTCAGCAGCTTCCCAGGGGTGTCCATCTAGGGCTGCAGGCTCCAGGGATGGACTGGCGGCACCAGGGCAGGGGTCATCCTCCAATGCCGCTGGCCCTGACGTCCACTGTGGCCGGTTTCCTTGCGTCTCTGGGCCTGGAGCTGAATGAAACACAACTGAGGCCCAGATGTTATCTCTCGGGAGGAAAGATCAGGGGGTCCACACGGCATGACCAGCCATATGCCAGGGGAGGAAGACTCACCCTGGGGGTGAGGTCCCACCACAGATGATTGCCCCTCTCTAGGCACCTAGGGCTTTCCACCCTGATGACCTTGTGTACCTGGCCCACAGTCTGCAATTGTAGGGTGGTGCAGGGAGGGACCTCCCCCCTCCCCCACCCCCACCCCCAGGGTGACTTCTCCTCCACTAGCATAGCATCAGGGTTAACTCCTTACTCATCCAGTTTTGCTTTTCATTAACTGAAGGAAAGAGGGCTTGAATTCTTGCCTTCTAGGCAAGTTTCAAATTTATCGGTGGCTTGAAGTTACTCAGGGTTTTATTTACACGGCCTCTCCAGTGAAATCAAGAGCTAGATCTCAATAGATTCTATTGAATAGAACAGTCAGCAGCTTCCCAGGGGTGTCCATCTAGGGCTGTGCGCTCCGGGGATGGACTGGCGGCACCAGGGCAGGGGTCATCATCCAATGCCGCTGGCCCTGACGTCCACTGTGGCCGGTTTCCTTGCGTCTCTGGGCCTGGAGCTGAAACACAACTGAGGCCCAGATGTTATCTCTCGGGAGGAAAGATCAGGGGGTCCACACGGCATGACCAGCCATATGCCAGGGGAGGAAGACTCACCTGGGGGCAAGGTCCCACCACCAATGATTGCCCCTCGCTAGGCACCTAGGGCTTTCCACCCTGATGACCTTGTGTACCTGGCCCACAGTCTGCAATTGTAGGGTGGGACCTCCCCCCTCCCCCCCCACTTTCGTCAGTCCCCCCCCCCCCCCTTTTTTTCTTTCTAGAAAGACAATTCTAAGAAAGCGCCAATTATTGGCAACTGAAGAGAACCTTCCGGAATCTGTCCTGGAATCACGTGCAACATGAATGTTCACCAAGTTGCTCAGATGATTTCATGAACTGTCAGCTCTCCATGCAAACACAGGCAGAAATCAGAACCTGCTCTATGAGCACCACGTTTTTGGCCGTTGAGTAGCTTGTGCAGAAAGATAATCTCCCAAAGATAAGGAGGAAGAGGCTGTGTCTGGTATCTGCCTTCATCACCTGCGGCAAGTCCCTTTATCATTCTCCAACTCGGTCTCTCTACCTGGAAAGTCTCCTTTCTTTCCGAGGCTGTTGGGGACGTCAGGGGACAGGCACTCTACACACTCGAGGATTTATGGCGGGTGGTGTTTTTAACTGCCGGCCTAAAGCCAGGGAATGGATTGGGGTTTGTTCAAATCACAAGGACAAGCCATGTGAGGCGGGATTGGGATCGGCACACACCCCAGCCAGACGTGGTTTTGTTTCGTATTTCTCTTGTCAATTGCAGGTTGGCCCATTTTGAAAGTAGGTTTCATGGCAGAATTCCTGGAATGCGCCCAAGGAAGAGAGAAGCAGGCAGGTAGTCAGTCTGGTGATAATAAGACATTTCCAAAAAACGAAATGTGTTGTTGTTGTTTTTCCTGTGATTTTTGCAACAAAATGGGCGATGACTTAGGATGGAACCAGAATATCAAATACCAAATAACACACAAAAGGGATAATACTGGGAAAGACTTTGTTTTCAAGTCAAATCAAAATAGAACCATTTCAGAGGCAACGGCTTCTTGTCAAGAATAACTGTCATTCGAATTCCCAGGGGCACCGGTGAGAATGATTTGGGGGCCAAGACTAAAGAAGGATCTGTTCAATCAAACATGGTGAAATGTTATTTTAGTCCTAATTTTCCCAGTCACGTTTGCATGATCAAAGATTTTTTTCTTGGCCTTTTTCTCTGCTGGGGGGCCATAGCTTTATCTCTCTATTCATATATACTGATTAAATTTTTTAAATGGATTTACCATATATATTGTTTGAGTTTGCATATATATATAACATATATATATTATATATATATATTTCAGAGAGGAAGGGAAAGGGAGAGAGAGAGAAACATCCATGATGAGAGAGAATCATGGATCGGCTGCCTCTTGCACACCCCCGTACTGGGAATTGGGCTGCAACCCGGGCATGTGCCCTTGACCAGAATCGAATCCAAAACCCTTCAGTCCGCAGGCCCACGCTCTATCCACTGGGCCACACCAGCTAGGGCCACTGATTAAAAATTTTAACCCAGGAAACTTTATCAGTCTTCTCTGGCTGGTGAACCACACTAAGAGTCTCCCTCTTGAGACGATTCAGTGCGGAGAAGACCACAAAGTCATGAAGAGAGGGAGCTGGTAGGCATCGCTGGGGCCTCCTGATGGAGCCCACGTGCCCACGGAGCCCAGGGGTTGGTCTGGCGTCCCTGCTCCACGTTCGTGGGATGCGGAAGAGTCTGATCTGCATTAGGGACCTCTGCATTCCATACACAGAAAATAGGATGATGATGGAGCAGAAAACAAACTCGGACAATGTGTTTTCCCCCCCATGGCATTCATTCAAGATTTCATTCCTTGAGCCCTCACTTAGGTTATAAGGCTCAGCGTGCTTCTAATTGCACTGGCCTCAGTTATTCAAAACAATAGGAGAGAGAGAGAGAGAGAGAGAGAGAGAGAGAGAGAGAGAGAGAGAGAGAAGGCGGGCGTATCACACAGGCTTTGGACATTCTTCACATTGCAAACCCATCAACAAAAGAAGGGAGAAGATCTGAGGCGAACGAGTGGTTTTTGTGGATTCAGGGGGGACGAGGATGTCTCTACATAAACAAGAAGCTCTGATGGCAAGTTTCCTTTTTAAAAAAATAAAACATAAAAATGTTACCGCTCGCCCACAAGGTTGTAAAGCCACAGGCTGGACGGAGGCGAGGAGAAAGTGTGTGTGGCTGCGATGTCTGTGGGTACC